ATAGAGAGTTAGAAACATCGATGAGAGAGAAACATCGATCAGCTGCCTCCTGCACACTCCCCACTGGAGATGTGCCCGCAACCAAGGTACATGCCCTTGACGGGAATCGAACCCGGGACCCTTGAGTCCATAGGCCGATGCTCTATCCACTGAGCCAAATCGGTTAGGGCTTTCCTTTACTATTTTAAATTGGAAAAGATTTGTTGACATGTTTAAGTCCTAATATGTTCATAAGATATGTGATGATGTAGCTGTGTTGGGGGTTTCTGTGACCTCCCCCATGTTTGGTGATTTGTTTAAAGGACTCAACAGGATTTATTACAATGATATAATAAGGATATTATATCCTTATTATATTTTATAAGGTTAAAAACGTAAGTGGAGTCTGGAGGAATCCATGTGTAGGCCTCCTTATACTCTCTCCTTCCCACGAGGGATCACACAGAGTGTACTCCTCTCAACAGTGGAAATACAGCAACATGTATGTGATATTTCTGTCCATTAGAGACTTGGTGCCTGTGGTTTTTAGGTGGCGGGAAGTGAGTGGGAGGGTTGTCATGTATGTGCTCTATCTAGCATGTACCAAAATACTACATTCCCTGCAGGAAAGCAGGAATTCAGCATAAAGAACATTGTATGTACAAACAATCTAGGTGCGGTAGCCACCATTATTAGGGAATGGTGAGAATCCTCCAGAAATCCAAGTTCCTAGTCCCTAGCCAAGGTCTAGCCTCACAAGCTGGCCTTTCGAAGGATAGCAGCCTTAGGCCTTCTGTGTTAACCTTTCTGCACAGTGGATAATCATACGGAGCTCAGTTTTGGTCTTATTAAGTTCCCAGTACTTGCAGTTGGCGTGGGCTGGTAGGCAGTTGGCAGCATGAACCTGGCACATGTGATATCAGAAAGTGTAGTCTTTAGTCAAAGGAAAATTAGAAAGCTTAGGGAGGGCATGTAAATTCAGAAAGAAATTCAGAAAACAAATGGAGGCAAATGGAGGCAGTTACTTTGAAATGAAGAGAACACTTTTCTTCTGAGATGACAGGGAAGTGTATGAAGGTATTTTATATATAGGGTGGGGCAAAATTAGGTTTACAGTTGTTCAATAATAAATGAATAATAATCCAAGAATAAACTCTCTGTTTTGGGTGCTCACCACTGTAAACCTATTTTTGCCCCACCCTGTATGTGTGTGTATTAAAGGTGTAATAAGTTTGAAGGTCGATAGATGGAAGGGACCTTGGGGCATTGACTTTTTTTTTTTTTTTAATCCTCACCCGAGAATATGCTTTCATTGATTTCTAGGAAGAGAGAGAGCAACATTGATGTGAGAGAGAAAGATTGATCGGTTGCCTCCTATATGTGCCCTGACTGGAAATCGAACCTGCAACCTTTTGATACTCCCAATAAACTGAGCTACCTGGTCAGGGCCCCTTTTTTTTTGTTTAACATAAGAGGTAGAGTAATTGGCTGAGGATGAGGGGTACGTTGTGAGCCTTGTGGAGGAAGGAAGAAGAGGAAAGTGTTTTAAAGTATTTAACTTGAGTAATAGGAAAAGGGACTCAACAGGACTCAACCAAGTAAAAGAACTGCTTGGATGTACAGAATGAAGGATCTGACCTTGTTCCTGACTTCTAGTGCCCCCAACATTTTTTTTCCTGCAGTTTGCTTTTTATTTTTAACTTGGAAGTTTTTTTGTTTTTTAAAATATATTTTTATTGATTTCAGAGAGGAGAGAGAGGGAAAGAGAGCTAGAAACATCAAGGATGTGAGAGAATCATTGATTGGCTACCTCTTGCACGTCCCCCATTGGGGACTGAGTCTGCAATCAAACCTGGGACCCTTCAGTCCACAGGCCAACACTCTATCCACTGAGCCAAATCAGCTCGGGCTGCAGTTTGCCCTTTAATAGTGTCCTCATCAGAAACCTTATGTTCATAGAAAAATACCTCTTTTCCCTCTGTACTTCCCATACCCGCCATCTTTAAAAGTCAGATGGTTCATCCACACTTCATTCTACTTTTTTCATAGCTCATATCCCCTAAGCAAATAAGTCTCCAAAGTCTTGAAAGGCTCCATTTTCCCTTCCATTGGAGTCTGCTTAGCTGATATTTGTAAATCATGTATCCTGGATGCAGAGACAGAGGGTTTTGTAGGTGTTCAGGGTTATTTATATTTGACTCTTTTGTTCTAGTTTTAGATTTGTCTTTTTTGAAACAGGTGAAAAAGAAGTAGAAAATGATAAATTTACTTTTTATGATACATACAGTGGTTCCTCTTCATGTAGTCATCTATAATGTAATTTGAATGAAGGTGTAATTTAATAAGAATTTTGAAGTAAAAAAAAAAAACTTTGCTAACTTGCCCTGTTTTCTTCTACTTCTCCCCACTCCCTCTTTTGTTTTCTCTGTTTTTAATTATAGCAAAAGTCTGGAGAAAAGCCTGTCCCAGGTATGGTTCATCTGATGTTCTTGTTAAACTTGAAATAAGACCAAACAGCTTGTTTAACTCAGTAACAACTTAGCATATGAGATGAGCTACTGTCATTTGGTCCTTCTAGATCAGGGGTGAGGAACCTTTTTTTCTGTCAAGGGTCATTTGGATATTTATAACATCATCTGAGGACCATACAAAATTATCAGCTTAAAAATTAGCCTGCTATATTCGGTCAAACATTTAATTAACTCACCCCTAATGCCTAATAACCAAATGATTTCTTGGGACTTACATAGCCAGAGGCTGTACGTTCCCCACCCCTTTTCTAGATTCTCTCATTGTAGCTTGTTACTCCTAACCTTGGGATTTGCTGAACTGCCAAGAGACGGGGCTTTTTTTTTTTTTAATATATATGTTTATTGATTTCAGAGAGGAAGGGAGAGGGAGAGATAGAAACATCAATGATGAGAGAGAATCATTGATGGGCTGCCTCTTGCACACCCCACACTGGGGATTGAGCCTGAAACTCGGGCATGTGCCCTGTCCGGGAATGGAGCCGTGACCTTCTGGTTTATAGGTGGACACTCAGCCACTGAGCCAGGCTGGCCAGGCAAGATGATGCTTTTGTGGTAGTGATGTTAGGATTTAAAAGGTGAATCAGAGTGGGAAGAATAGGAATTGAGGAGGTGTGGAAAAGACGAGGTGATTTGAGGTTTGGGGTTCAAATTGTTCAAATTTCAGTGGTTCATCATTGAAAAGAGATATTGACCTATCCATTGAACTGGGATGGAATAATCATGTATACTATCTTATTTAAATGCCATGTGTTTTTGTCTAGTATCACAAATTTGCTTGGGTTATCAGGTTTTTAGACTTGTAAATGGATTCTTAAACATTTGCCTGATGAAATAGCTAACTTTAGAACTTGAGATAAGCAGTTCTAAAATGAATTGGAAAGAGTTTGAACCGTTCATATTAACTGTTGTCTAAATTGATCTCATCCCTTTATCCTTCTCCCCCTCCAAAAAATAACTCCTTTTGATGGGTAGTGGATCAGACAAAGAAAGAGGCAGAACCTACACCAGAAACTGTGAAGTGTGATGAGAAGGAGACCACAAAGAACATCCAACAGGCAGTGAGCACTAAAGGTCCCCCTGAAAAACGCATGAGACTTCAGTGAGTATTGGACGAGAGAAGCTTGTAAGACTTCTTGTCCGTGATTATACCTCATACCGTGACAGGCTCTTGAACTTTGAAATTCTTTGTCACAACTCTCATTTGTATAGAATGTGCTTGCTCTTTATGCTCTTTAGGAAAGGATATAAGGACCCTCATGCTTTTGAGATGGATTTTGTATGTATCTTTTGTAACCTTTCCCCTACGGACTTGAGCAGCCTCCTCACTCACATGTGTACTGCTTACATATATTTGAAACCAAATTAAAGTATTTGTCTAAATTACTTTATCATGACTTTTCCCCCTTATTTCTCTCTCTGAAATATTTCCGGATGCACTTTGTAAACACAAAGGATTAAAGTAGTAAATACAAGTTTAGTTTCTTTTTTAGTTGTATATTTCTCAGTATTAAAATAATTCAGTTACTTAACAATTTGAATGGTAAAGAAATGGGAAAAAACTCACTTGCCTATACCATCACCTTACAAATCCTTTAACAGTTTTGTGAGTTTTCTTTGTCTTTTTTTTCTATGCATATTTTAGAAACCAAAACTTGTAATTATTCTGTTCATATAATTTTACTTTATCACATTATTATGTCTGTTGTAAGCACTTCTCCATGTTTACTTAGTTTTTATAGATTATTTATTTTAATGATTGAATAATTCCTGTGAGTGATTATACATTTTCTTAAACTCTTCTTGTGTTCTACTTAGGTTTTTCCCAATTTGCATTATTTTAAATGAAGCTGTTGTGATTACATTTGTCTATAATGACTTTCTGATATTTAGTATTTATTTCCTTAGGATAGAGTCCCAGTGGTAGAATCACCAGACTCTTTACTCCTAGTCCATATTGCCAAGTTATTTTTTCTCAAAAGGTTTGAACCAGTTGTCACTCAGCAAAGTATGAAAATATCAACCCCTCCAGAATTTACTACAAAAATGTTTTTTTATTATTTTAAGTGGTTGAATAATTGCTCATGTTTGACTTTTGCTTTTATGAAATGTCTGATTTTCTGTATTGTGTAAGATTTTTCTTTTAGCTTTGTATTTTGACATAATTTCAGGCTTACAGAAAAGTGTAAAAATAGTACAAAGGATTCCTACATATATATGCCTTTTGCCAAAACTCCTCATATGTTAACATTTTTCCATATTTGTTTTATTCTTCAATCTTTTCCTGTCCTCTCCCCCATCTCAGACTCTTGATGACAGTTGCTATTTTCCTCTCTATGTGTATGTGTATATATAATACACATCTATACACACCTTTTACTTTTGGATTAAGAGTCAATTGCAGACATGATGCCCATTTTCCTTAAGTACTTTTGTGTATATTCCCTAAAATCAAGGATATTCTCTTACATAGCTATAGTACAGTTATCAAAATTAAACTGATATGATACCATTACCTAATCTGTAGATCTCATTCATATCTTACCAGAGGTGTCAAGAATGTCATTTACAGCAAAAGAATATCCTGAATTATGCATTGGATTTAGTTGTACTGTCTCTTTAGTCTGTTTTAATCTGGAATAGTTCTTTGTTTTTCATGACTTGATATTTAGAGTTTAGGCCAGTTATTTTGTTGAATGTCTCTCAGTTTGCTTTTCTTTGATATATTTTCATGATTAAATTCACCTCTTGTGCTTTTATCAGGAATAACATGGAAAAGATGCTTGTTGGAGACACATGCTATTAAATTGCCTCATTTCTGATGATGTCAGCTTTACTTGGTTAAAGTTACTGTCTGTCAGGTTATTCTACTGTAAAGTTACTATTTTTTTCTTTTGTAATTTAGAGCTATCTTGGGGGGGGGGGGGAAATAGAGGTTTTGTAAATAGCATGGTATTCCTCAAATTTTTTTCCTACAAGTTAGCATCCATTGATAATTCTTGCCTGAATATGATGGTTGCCAAATGGTGAATTTCCAATTCCGGAATTCCTCTATGACTATTAGTTGGCTTTTTGCTATAAAGATGAGAGTTTTCCTTTCTCCCCTTCGTACTTATTTATATCATTTTGAACCTCTAGATTCTTATTTTATTTGATAAGTTGTATTTCTTTACTATTATTATTTATATTGATGCTCAAATTGTCCCAGATTGGGCCATGAGAGCCTCTTCATGCTGATTCCCGTGTCCCTTTGATATGACCCTCTCATTCATTGAGCATTTTCTTTACATTTTGGGACAGTAGGATATTCCACGTTCCTCCCAACCTTGGCCTGGAATCAGCCGTTTCTAAGGTCCCTAGTTCCTTTTGGTGGAGAATGCATTTGGAAATCAAGATTTTTGGGCTAGGTGTGTTCCTTTGCTATTGTGTTATTGCTTCTAGGCCCTTTCACCTGACACAGTTAAGAACTAAATACTATATACTTACATTTGAGTGAATACACATACGTCTCCACACATACATCTATATTTATTAAAAGCCATCAATTCACACTAATACCACCAATTCCAGCCCATCACCACAGGGTTCACTCTGTCCTCTTCTATATGTATAACTCTCTCACATAGGTGAGAATGCTGGTTCCTGTTATCCACAGTATTTTTACTTGCTTAATCCTATAATAGCAAAGTAGTTTTAGAATTGCTAACCTGTACCTCTGCCAAAAAGAGACCTCCTAATTAGAGTTCAGAGTTTGCTTATTTCTTTTTATAAGTTTAGCTTGAAGCTATATAATTTAGATATTGTGTTTTAAAATTACTTTTGTTCAGCCCAGTTGGTGTAGCTCAGTGGTTGAGCGTCGACCCATGAACCCGGAGGCACAGTTCAATTCCGGTCAGGGCATATATTGGGTTGTGGGCTTAAGCCCCAGTAAGGGGTGTGCAGGAGGCAGCCAATCAATTATCCTCTCTCATCATTGATGTTTCTATACCTCTCCCTCTCTCTTTTGCTCTCTGAAATCGATTTTAAAATATTTTACAATGCTAATTACTTAGAAGTAATTTTTACCTTAAAGTTAAATTGCAGCAAAAGAAGTAAAGCTGAGCCCTGGCTGGTGTGGCTCAGTTGGTTGGAGAGTCATCCTGTACACAGAAAGGTCGTGGATTTGATTCCTGGTCAAGGCACATAGCCAGATTTCAGGCTCGATCCCTAGTAGGGGGCTTTCAGGAGGAAGCCAATTGATTCTCTCTCATTGATGTTTCTATCTCTCTCTCCCTCTCCCTTCCTCTCTCTGAAATCAATAAAAACTATATTAGCCCTAGCTGGTTTGGCTCAGTGAATAGAGCGCTGGCCTGTGGACTGAAGGGTCCCGGGTTCGATTCCAGTCAAGGGCACATGCCCAGGTTGCTAGATCCTCAGTGGGGGGCATGCAGGAGGCAGCCTATCAATATCAGTGATTTTCTCTCATCATTGATGGTTCTCTCTCTCCCTCTCCCTTCCTGTCTGAAATCAATAAAATATATTTAAAAATAAAAACTATATTAAAAAATTACTTTGGCTCACTTTTTTTTCTCTTCAGTGTGGTTACATTACTCATTTATTGGGTTGTTTGGTTGATTTTATTCTGTTCTGAATTTCATTTTAGTTTTTCCCCTTCATATTAATTTCTGTTTTGTTGTATTGTTTGAGGCATGTGAGATGTTAACTTGGTTATAAATGTCAGAACTGTCAAAAAAGATTCTAAGTATTATGCCCCTTCATCCTCTGGCCCACTCATTTCTTTTGTCTTTTCCACCTCATTCCCTACCCATCCCCTCAAAAGTAAGCAATTTAATTATTCTCTAGTTTACCTGTACTGTATTTATTTTACAACAATATATAGGTATATTCTTATTTCCCCTCTTACACAAAAGGCAGCATATTATATAAACTTTTGCACTTTGCTTATTTCCCACTTATTTAAGCATGAACTTTTGACATAAAGATATTAACTCTTTCTTTGTCATACTTGCTTCAAGTATTTTTCCAGCATAGCTCCTTTTCTTATAACTACATTGCTGCAAAATATCACTTAATAGAAAAGCACACAAAATATTAGAGTACAACTCATTGTACCTGTGTAACTCAACATTGCCAGTACCTCAGAAACCACTTTATGTTCCCTTCTATTTACAATGCTTGTCCTTCTGATTCTGATCCCTAATTTTTTTTGGTAATCATTTGTTTTCTTTACATTTTTACTATGTAACAATGTATCCATAAATAAATGTTTTGATTTCCTATTTTTCTTGTCAACCTTTTATTTTAGTTGTATTCACTATAGTAATTTCAAAATATACAAACATATAAACCAAAATGTGAGCGTAAAAGAGAATTATTATTTCTATTTCAACTAAGTCTAATGTGTTAAAAAGATTTGCTAAGGGCTAGATGTTTAGAAAAACAGTCAATGAAGAGTGGATAAGGCAATTGCAAAAGATTGAGGAGAAATATCAATCTAGATAGAGTGTGCACCTGGATTGCTTTGCGAATGTTTTTAAGTCCTCACTGCATTTTAAAGAACCTGAAACCAGAAATCTTAAACAATATTTTAAGGGAATGACTGGTGTCCTTATAAAAAGAAGTCCAAGTGAAGAGACAAATGGAAAATGTTAAGTGAAGATGGTGGATTGGAGTGATGCATCTGCAAGCCAGGGAATGCCAAAGATTGCATCAAATCACCAGAAGCGAGGAAGATGTAAGGAAAGATTCCCCTGCAGGTTTCAGGGACAGTGTGGCCCTGCTGACACCTTGCTTTTTGACTTCTAGCTTTCAGAACTTTTGAGACAATAAATGTCTGTTGTTTTAAACAACCAGTTTGTAGTACTAGTTACGGCTGCCCTAGGAAACTAATAGTGGTGTACATGTGCTCATGTTGCTGTTTTACTCAGATTGCTGGGTCATAAGTATGTCTTTATTCAACTTTAGTTGATAATGCTAAAACATTTTCCAAAGTGATTGTACTAGCTTATACTTTGGTCAGTTGGGTTTGAGTTCATGCTGTTCTATTCTTTTGTTGATCTTTGATATTGTCAGTTAAAGAAAAAATCAGTGATTCTGATGGTGTACAATGGTATCCTGTTGAAGCTGAAATTTGTATTTCCTGGCGATTGATTATGTTAAGCATCCTTTTGCACATTAAATTTTTTTTTCATCTATCTGTCTTACAGCATTGGAAAAATTGTTTATATGTTTTGGATAGGAGTCCCTTGTCAGTTACATGTATTGTGTTTAAATGTATCTTCTCAACTCTGGCTTGCCTTTTTACTTTATTAATGGTGGCCTAAAATTTTAATGTAGTTCACTTTTCAATCTTTTCCTTTACTTTTACTGCTTCCTTGTGTCTTATTTGAGA